TTAACATTAACTGTTACTGCTTCTAGCAAATATGACTTTAGATACCTTAAATTGTAGGTAATTTAATTGCCTACAACATAAAACGACTAATTTTCCGATAGGTCGCTTAGATTTTCGTGGGCATGCAAAAAAAGTGAAAAAACAAATAAATTTGCCACTTATTTGCAATTTGCCAACTTAGCGTCACTTCTTTCGAGATACTTTTTTGATATTATCACTTTACATTCCTTTCCAAGTGCAATAAAAATGTCTACTAATAATTTTTTCACGTTCAAACTCTAATTCGACTGGAGTAACGGAGAAGAAAGGGATGGACTATTAAAATTCCCATTGCGGACGCCACTGCCATGAACTACTTTTTCGAAGGGTAATTGCCTTTTGGTTCGACGAAGCTATGCTTATTCCGAGCTCCAATCTCTTAGCATTTTCAAGGCGTTTAAGGAAATTTACTGCTTATTTATCTTTATTCGTAGTGTAGTTATAGTAATTAAGCCGAACATAAGGAAATGAAACGATTGGAGCAGAGATAGAGGAAGCCATAAATAACGCGGCAATTCAATCTTATCTAGTGAATAATCTCGTAGCACACCGCCGATTTGAAAATAATCTCGTGGAAGGAAAGATTTATTAAAAGAACCCAATTTCAGTTTCTTCTGGCCTGTGATAAACCGAGATAGAATTTATTCGAACGAACGGCGAGGGTGTTTTCGCCGGCGTTTGCAGTGAACACCCAATATTTGCACCCAGAATGCGTATCAGATGGTAATTTCATTCCAGATTTACCATCCTTTCTATATCATTTTTATACCGATAGAAAGAAAAAGTGCGGCAGGGTAGATTGTGTCAGGTTATTTAGTATTTTAATGCGTACTCTCACACCGGATCAAAATAAATAATTCCCCTTTTGTTTTTATTTTAAAAAGACTTACAGTTACAATATATTCATGAAAGCAAGCAACCACGAGCTGGTGATTTCCTCAAAAGAAAAACTGTCAACTATAAAGAATATAATACAAACCTTTATATAACTACAAGCCACGCGGCCAGTAATTTTGTGAAAATAGTAATTTTATTTCCTTCGCGGTGGCAATTAAATTTTGGTAGAATTAAAAATTATTGGAAAAAAATGGTTAAGTTAAGACTACGTTAAAACACAACATTTTGTTTCACCACCTAGTGATTGATGTAATTTTTCACGACATTTCATTCAACCAATCGGCGATCGCATTACCTCGAGCGTAAACACAACAGTTTGTTAGTGTTCATTGTAAACGAATCATTTTCACAGCCCCACAAAAAAAAAGTATCGGATCTGGTATTCAGACTCATGGATTTTCATGTATTTTTTTTCGCCGAATCCGAATCTGCAAAATTCGCAAAAAACGTAATTTACGACCGACGAAAGTTATAAAAAATCTAATTATTGTATTAGCTCATTAGAGGTTTCATTTTTCAGTTGTTTAATTCCAATTTACCATCATAGAGTCAGACAAGCTAGTCCAATTTCATTCAAAAAAAGAAAATAGATTAAAAACGCCATATTCATGGCATAATTCATGATACAGAGTTCTGGATCCATCTTTTTATCCACCCACCCATTTATGAATTCATACATCTTTCTATCCAGTCGTTCATGCATGAATACGCATATTTATTCATCCACCTGTACCACCTATAAAACCCACCCATCGACCCATCTATCCATCTACTTTTTGTACTGAGAGATGACATAACTGCTTAGAAGATTGAGAATGCAATAAAACTTGTAGAATACCTACTCTACTTTCTAAACAAAAGAAAACGATATTTACAAATCATTCTTATTTTTGTTGGATCCATGCAAAGGGTTACGCCTTCGTTTAGTCCCTATATTTTTCGCTTCTATTTTTAACAACCAACAAACATTGGCCATCATGTTTTCATCCCATCTACCTTGATATCACTGTTCTATAACCTTCATATCCTGATGAAATCGTTCGCCTTGTTCTTCGCTATAATCTCCAAGATTTTCAGGAAACCAATCCAGATGTGAATGAAAGAAGTGCAACTTGTAGTTCATCAAACATATCCCAGATCTTGGAAGTCTTTTATCATTTTTTCTAAAAAAATTTTCGCCCTATATATACAGGATGATTCAGAACTTATCCAAAAAAAAAAATCTGGATGTACAGGGGACCCTTACAAATACAATTTTGTAAAGAAAAAATCAAAAAGGGCAGTTCGAAAATGATTTAAAAATACACTTCTGCACGGCACTGGAAACTGGTCCACTGTAAAACCTGACGTCGCACAATGCGACCGGCATGGCGGTGTGATAAAAATCGACAAAAACTTTGGCAAGGAAAGAAATATGTAAATAGAATTTTATCGCACCTATTTTATATCGGCAAATTCAACTGCTTTTGTCTTTATTAATTAATAAAATTAATTTGTGTTTTTAAATAATAAAATCATTTGACATACCCGATGTTACAACGATTGTTCAATATTTTATCCACCAATGTGTAAACACATTTGGGTCCGTTGTACTCAGTTTCTACGAACTAACACAAATGTTGTCTTGCTTCACCATAAATTAAAACGATATCCATCAACTCCGAGTACACGCAAACCATTTTTGACACTAACTACCCATTTTTGACACTAACTACTAATAACCTATTGTAAATACCACAGATAACAGGTAAATATCGCAACGACGATTGCAAAATCCGAATTCAGTATTCGGAGTCGCTGAGGCCACGTGGCGAATGACGCTAGAGACTACAGTTGTCCAGCTATGTAGTGGTTGAATGTACTATAACTTCAATATTTTTTTCTCGGAAACTATAAGGATTTTACAAAAAATTTTTTTACGACATTGATTCCATTTCTCAAGCTGCATCTATTCCCAAATTTTTTTGGATAAGTTGTGAATAACCCTATATATATATATATCCGAATATTTCTGAGGCAAAATTGAAAGAAAATGTAGGTATTCGGACATTGTTCAAGGATGCAACATTCATCACTACAACGAATAGCGTTGAGAAGAGTGCTTGGACTAGTTTCAAAGCTGTAGCGACAAATTTTCTATGATGATAAATTGAAATTAAACGACTAAAAAATCAAACGTCTAGTGAGCTGGTACAATAATTAGATTTTTTATAACTTTCGTCAAGTGTAAATTACTTTTTTGCGAATTTTGACCTGTATTTTGAATTTTCCCGAAATCTCAGACCCGTTGGGCCAAATCTGAAGGCAGATTTGGATTCAGCGGAAAAAAATTCGATCCGATACTTTTTTGTGGGGCTGTGTTATGACTGATGCTGCTAAATTGACATTTGTGCATTTTTTAATAACGTCAAGGTATCATGCATATAAATAATAAATAGTGGATTATTTTTTATTCTATCACATGCTGCAATTATTCTTTCTTTTAATTCCTCTACAGTGGTAATGGGACTAAGTTTATTGCAAAATTAGATTCTTCAATAATTAAATTAATTAATTACGGACAATACAACGGGTTTTATTTTTTTACTCAAAAACGACGCATAGTAGGACAAAGACTCAAGAGAGCTCTTATCTTTCGAATTAAACAGGGATCTCAAAAATAATTTTTATTTGGGAAAAGAGCCATTAGCGTACCATTTTTTTCTTTAAAAATATCAATGTCATTGTTCGTACGCATGCCACTGTTAGAGCTAAAAATTATATTCGTATTGAAAAACATGCGTCGTTATCAACTATCACCACATACTACATATCATTGAAATATTTCAAGCGGTTTCGAAAATATAAATTAATATCCTTCTTTTTCCTAAAATTTTAACACCCCGTATGTTCGCAACGGAACATTTTTGGATAATAGCAAACTGTCATTAATTTTCCTTAAATACTCGCATATCATTAAGGAACACTCTGTATAAGACAACAATTTTTTAGTATAGGTATTTTAGAAAATCGTAGGTATAAATATTACCAGATCAATCGACTTACTTTAGTACAATTTTGCTTCCTTAAAAAGTTGTCGACCTTCAAGAACAAATACATATTATTTTTTAAAATTGCTTCCCCATATAAGATATTTTAATGAAATTTGGTATGGAGGAATTGTTGAGATAGCCAAATATGAATTTGTGCTTACTTTTTATCTAAATCATAAAAGTCGCTAAGAACACCTTAAACAATCGTTAATTTTTTGCCACTTTTTTTTCTTGTAGTAATTTTAAGAAAATGCAGAAGTTTCTTGAAACATTGAAACACCGCTTTATTTGTAAAAATGTATCCTTATACATGTGGTTAAAATTCAACGTTTCAGAGAAAAGCGAAATTAATTTTTCAATGTGGGAGTATTTTACATAACTAACAAATTAAATACCTTTTATGATTTAAACCACCCAACCAAAAAGGGTGGGTCTACTGAGATATAAGGCTTCTTAATGCATTGCGGCAAAATTAAATTAACAGGACTAAGTATATCTTAAGTGTTCATATTCGAATGGTGGTATGCTGATCTAAATTAACAAAATATTTAATCTGGCAGCAAATTTGCCAAAAACTGGAGTTTAGTTAAACTAAAATATTCTGACAAATGCCAAAAATAAATAATTGTAGACAGGAACCAAAATGAATGATATGAATTTTGTTTTAACTTAAGGGTGACTGTTAAGCATATACAAATATAGATTTTAAGAAGCAGATTAAACATAGAGATGAGTTGTTTTTTGAAAACAAACTGTAGTAAAATTTTTAGCTAATAATTCGTTTTATTCTTTTTATAATTAACATCATCATTCAGAAAAGGATACTGATAAAGAAATGTTTTAAAGGAAAGTATTACTGCAAACCAAATGGTAAACAAGTTGTTTTTTTCACTGATAAAAAATTCACTTCCAGGATACTACCATCAGTGCTATTTTCATCAGGGTCAAAAGATATTTGCATTGGTATATTTTCAGTTGCTTTTGGGTATCTGCATATTGCTACAAATATTACTGTAGGAATAGTTAGTTATTTCCTCCAAGTTCATTGTGACTGTCGGTTGACTTATCAATTTGCGCGTAGGATATTTGCAATAATAATAACTAATTGTTGCATTATCTCAAATTGCTTCCTGGGTAACTACACAACTTGATCAAATGTAATGGTAATTGTTGACTGTGATTGTGTGCATACCAGTGGACGATAAGTAAGTAATATTTCAAATATTTCTAGTAATGCTTTATATTTTGATTTATGATTGGTCATTTTATACCGTTTCGTCTAGAAATTAAGTAATCTCCGTATGTGCAAAGAATATCAATTTGTTGTTGCGGAGAGATTAAAAGGCACTTTACTCCCGAGGATTACGCTAATTTTTGCAGTCCTTGGGTTAAAATAACCAATATTGATTATTATTAATTAAAATTTTTATATACTCATTTGATATTAGCGAGAAATGTTAATAGACCGATGGAAATAACTCATTTAGAGGAAAAAAAAAAGAAAATTGTTACCTGGACTTTTATAAGTTGAAATGGTAAAGGGGCTTATAATAAACGAAAAAAAAAAATAAATGCGTGAGCAGGGGTGGCGGATGGTTGATTTGGGGGGTTGAAAAGTGAAAAATTGTATCATTGGAATTTTCTGGCGAAAGTTGACGTCGAACAAAAAGCATCCAATACAAAAGTTGTAGATCATGCAAAAATCTACAACTTTTATAGAGGTCACTTTTTAAGATAACCTCAAAATTGCCGAGAAAAATGCAAAAATCAAGATTTCTTATGATTTTTCGTTTTTTATATCACATTTCCGTAAAAATAATTTAATTTTGACGAAACTTTGTGAAAGTATACCTTTTTGTGTCTTAAATAACCACAATTTTTTTTTTTTAGATAAAAAATCAAGAAGTTTCCGAGATATTCGTTTTTCCGGTCTGAAACACTTTTTTTTTCAAAGAAAAATTCTACTTAGAAAAATCATCGTACAGGGTTCTGCCGGTGATTATTTTTTTCGTTTTGACATATACTTATTGGTGAAATAAAAATATCTGCAACTATATATAAAAACATGCTCAAAAATGCAAAAAAAGACAACAATGAATTTTTCAGTAATTGTTGATAATTTGTTTAAATTAAAAAAAATTTAAAAACTGATTTCACCATTCAATTGCACGTTAAAAATATAAAAAAAACTGTCTCATTGTTTGACCCAAAACTTTATTTTTGTACAGTATTGCTATAAACCTAAGGATAGCATTAGGATCTAGGAAACGGTAAGAGATACGGGGTGGCTCAGATTAGAAAAAAAGTTGTTTTTTTAAACCTAACAATATGCCGTTTAGAAAGATTTTAAATTCCGGGTAGTTCCGGAGATATCCGGAAAAACCCGAAATTTTGCAAAATTGTTTAATTTTTTTTTGGTTTTATTTGGAAACGAATTTTAAAATAAATTACATATTTAAAATGCCACTTTTTTCGCTCTATATAATGGCGTCAACATTTTTGCAATTCAACGTTTCGTCTTCGAGGGGCCATTATCAGGTTAATTTTTTAAAATAGGTCGCTGCTATTTTTATGACAAAATCGTTTTTAATTCTGAATGAGATGATATTACTATTGTAATCACTTAAAACATTTTTAGCTTGTTTTAGGTATCATTTAAAATTTTTCCTGAGTACGGCTCTGAACGCTTTCAAAATATCTATTGGATGAAGTCATAACAGTGTAAAAGTCAATACCGCACAAAATATCCAACAATTTTTTTTATTACTATTAGCAATGCTAATTAGAAATAATAAAACATTTCATAAATTCGTATTATTTTTTTTATTAGGTACAACTTTTTAAATTATTGATTAAAAACATTTTTTTGATATTTTGTGCTGACTTTTATACTGTTATGATTTCCTGCAATAGATATTTTGAAAGTGTTTAGAGCCGTACTCGGGAAAAATTTTAAATGATAGCTAAAATCCTTTTTATTATTACAACAGTAATATCATCTAATTCAGAATTAAAAATAACTTTAGATAAAGTCATAAAAATAGCAGCGACGTATTTAAAAAAATTAACCTGATGATTTTTTTTAAATTCGTTATCAAATAAAGCCAAAAAAAAATAAAACAATTTTGCAAAATTTCGGGTTTTCGGATTTCCGGGTTTTGCGTCAACAGTAGACTTTGCAGTTAATACTTTATATACTTTATATTACTGAAATCTCAAATCATCCAGATATAATTTATCATTTGTGCATTTGTAATTCGACTTAGCAACACTGTACAAAAATAAAGTTTTGGGTCCAATGAGACAGTTTTTTTGTATTTATTTCCGTAGAATTGAATGCTATAATCAGTTGTTGATTTTTTTTAAATTTATACAAATTATCAACAATTACTGAAAAATTCATTGTTGCAAGTCATTTTTATTTTTTTTGGATTTTTGAGAATGTTTTTGAACTGTGATTACAGATTCTTTTATTTCCCCAAAAACGCAAAAAATGATCAAGGCAGAACTCTGTACGATGGTTTTTCTAAGCAGAATTTTTCTTTGAAAAAAAAAAAACGAAAAATGAATATCTCGGAAACTTCTTGATTTTTTTATCTAAAAAAAATTGTCTATTTGAGACACAGAAAGGTATACTTTCACCAAGTTTCGTCAAAACTAAATTATTTTGCGGAAAAGAGAAATAAAAACGAAAAATCAGAAAAAACTGTTTTTTCGCATTTTTCTCGGAAATTTTGAGGTTATCTTGCAGATTTTTGCATGTTCTACAACATTTGTATTGGATACTTTTTTGTTTGGCGTCAACTTTTGCAGAAATACCAATGAGACAATTTTGCACAACTTTTTAACTCCCCAAATCAACCCTCTGCCACCACTGCTCACGCATTTATTTTTTTAGGTTTATTATAAGCCCTTTTATCATTTGCACTTATAAAAGTCCAGGTAACATTTTTTTTCTCCAAGTGTAATTTGTTGGACTATAAATCTAGATATCATTGTCATAAAGCTTTCTAAAATTGTCAGATTCCTTTGGACTCAATTGAATTCCCACTGTAACTGTAGCTTTGCTTTTGATAGGGGAATTAGAAATTGAATTAATATCTGTAAAACTATGTTACACTTCACTCCCTGTGATTAGTGATAAAAACACATTTTTGGAACAGTTATAATACCGACAGTTTTTCTTTTTTGGGTACTTTGCCACATTGCAAATAAAAGATAAGCCAGACAAAAATTTAAAATCATCGCCAGCTTCTAGATGACAGCTACAACTTTCTTATTTTTAACATTTTTTTCTAAATTTAAAAACCAGAATGTTAAGATGGTGTGACTCACGCAATAATATAATTAATGCATTGTAAAGCACCGAATAAAAATATTTTTTTGTTAAATATGGTGCATTCTATGGACATGAAAGAAAAGAAATTTATTTGCTGTGAAATTTAGGGATTTTTTTATTTTAGTATGTTGCGCACCAGTTATTTAAAAAAGTCCTTTATAATGATATTCAATCTTCCAGTTCAACTGAAACTGTACCTGACAATAAACAAATAAAATTAGACAACAATTGCATGTAGGTTTTAGATATATTTGAAATCAAGTATATTCTTTTTACCTAAACATCCTGTGTCTTGAAAACGAAGCGTCCCCCAAAAAATATATTTATGAACTATCCCCATTAATGTTTACCCTAGAATCTATTGGTCAAATTTAGCCCATTCTTTAGCACATCCTGTATATTATTCTGTTTCTTGACAACATTATAATTTAAAAAAAGTAGGTACTTGTTATTTTGTACATGTCACAATATTCGTTAATCTCGTACACATACTTGTAGTTTAAACTGATTGATAAATACTTAATAAGTCCCGTGAATAAAACATATCGGTGAAAATTGTGAGAAAAGGTAAAAAAATAAGAGAATGCGGAACAATAAAATTGCTTAACATTCTGGAGGAAACAACCGTATTATTAAGTGGATCTCTGCAAAAGTTTTGGAAAAACACAGTGTGTCTAATTCACAGGTCATTTGATCTAGGGACAATCGTCAGAAGTGACAATGGTATATAGGAGTTTTTTGGGTCGCTGATCACGAATCCGAGGTCGGTTAAGCTCCATCACATCAGGTTCAAGGTGATTTGAAGGTCAAATCAAGAAATGACCTCCAAAAAATCTGAAAAAATTCATGCTTATGTTTTAGAGGTCACTGAACCCGAATCCAAGATTTGTTTACCCCTAGGATACACCCTGAAGGTCATTCAAGGTCATTTCATGGTCATTCATGAAGTATTTTGTGTAGAAAAGTTAAAATCAGTATGAAAAATCTGAAAAATTTCGTCCGAATGTTTTTGAGGTCACTGAACGCGAATCTAAGGTTATTTAAGCTCCATCATGTTAGATTCAAGGTGATTTGTAGGTTAAATTTAGAAAAAGTTGTGTAAAAAAATTTGAAACGTGTATTGAAGTGTTTTCGGAGTCACTGAGTGATCTGGAGGTTATTAAAGGTCTGCAAAGAGTTTCCATGTGTCTACGTACAACCATCTACTCGATTGTATGGAGATATAGTCTCTTTTTCTGATAGTTTACTTTCATTCTACTATTCTGATTAAGAAAGTTGGCATATGACTATCCCATACGTTGACACGGTCAAAATGAATCTCAAGGGATTTACTTGACTCAAAATTTAATTAGAAAAGTTCAGGTTGTTGCATTAGCAAAAGGGGTCAAGCACGCATTATATCATTAAGTCATAAATTCCTTCAGCATTTTATGTCTTTTCAGTTACCCAAGTGGCTTGTGTTAGCCCTGGCCTTTCCTCATCTTGATTACTGCTCAGTATTTTACCTAAATATGACAGACAAAAAGAAATAATAATAAAAGTAAAAAAAAAGTCTAAAACGCAAGTGTATCAGAATACGTGACTGATTTTAGGAGGGATGCAAACAACGAAACATACGAAAATCGATTCCATGACAAGGATAACGTTCCTGAGTTGATCAGTATTTTTATTAAATAACCTTGGATTCGCGTTCAGTGACCTCAAAAACAGTCAGACGAATTTTTTCAGATGTTTCAGACTGATTTTAACTTTTCTATCAAAAATACTTCATGAATCACCTTGAATGACCTCTAGGGTGTATCGTAGGGGCAAACAAACCTCGGATTCGGGTTCAGTGGCCTCTAAAACATAAGCATGCGTTTTTTC